ATATCATAGCTTATTTGCATTTTACATCACTCAGCAAAAGTTAACAGAAAGGTTTCTAGCTTAAAATAAAAATAAAGTGGTTGAAGCAAGCTTTTAAGAAGTTTTGGTAAACCTGGATTACATATTTAATTATAAATTCCTACTAAATCCTGGATTACATATTTAATTATAAATTCCTACTGAGTCCTGGTGTAGTGTTATAGTATAAGCACTGAATTGTTACCCACAAGGTCAATGGTTCACCCTATACAGGGTTGCTATGAGACAGAACTGACTTGATGGCACTTAACAACAATAAATTTAACAAAATTCTAGAGGACTACCTAGAAATTTCAAACTGTCAAAGAATGCAAAGGGCAAGTTTTTCAAACTGGTAGAATTACTACCAGTGTTGTACAGTTTCCAACATCAAGTGGAAAAGGCAACATCTTTAATTTTGTCTTAAAAGTGCTCTATGTACATCAGCAAGAAGCACTGCCCAGTCCTGCACCATCCTTACAACAGGTGCAGCTACTGTGTTAATTCACATCATTGAGGGTCTTCCTCTATTTGTCTGACTCTTTATTAAACATGATGTCCTTCATCAGGGACATTTCCTGAGGACACGCCAGAGGTAGGAGAGACAAAAGTCTTGCCATCTTTGTTGTTTAATGGGTGACATAATCATTGTATATATGACTACAACAATAGTTTTATACAGCCTTAAATACTGTTTATTCTTATTCACATACTGGTTAACTTATATTCATAGGAACCCCTATAAATAATAAACGTAAGCTATACTAGATCTAGGAGTCCTGGTGTGGCACTGTGGGCTAATGCACCAGACTGCAAAGCCATTTGAACTGCAAGGTTCATGGTTCAAGCTCACCAGTTGCTCCTCGGAAACCTTATGCAGGGTCGCTATGGCTTGGAACAACAAAAATACTAGATCTAAAATACAAATTAAGGAACTAAAGAATAATATTGACAAGCTCCTTAAAATGACATTAACTAGATGGTTAAATTACATTAATCCAATCAAATACTTAAGGACTTCCAAAAATTGGTTTTAAAATGTTATAAATCTATCCAATTGGCTTTCATTTTATCAGGAATAAGTACTAAGTACAATTTTATATTTTTAATTCAGTATTTTGAAATACAAACTTACCTATAAACCCTATACAAGGTCACTATGGGTCAGAACTGACTCAACGGCACTTCAAAACAACAACATATCTATCCAATAACGAGCTCTGGTAGCAGAGTGGTTATGAATCGGGCTGCTAACCTCAACAAGGTCGGCAGTTTGAAACCACCAGCTGTTCTGCAGGAAAAAGATGAGGCTTTCTGCTCCAGTAAAGATTTACAGCCTCGGAAACCTTATGCAGGGTCGCTATGAGTCAGAACCGACTCCACGGTACTTAACCACAACAATGTATCTATCAATTAAATTTCTAAATATTTACCTAAGAGAAATAAAAATAGGTATCACAAAAAGAATTATCAAGAATATTCGCAGCAGCTGTATTTCCAATAACCAAAACCTGAGAACATTCAAATGTCTATCAACAAAGGGACAGTTCACAAATTGTGGTATAGTCAACAAGGGAGGATTTTCAGCAATAAAAAGAAACTAGTGTTGTGATGCTGTGGGTTAATGCACTGGACTGCAACGTCGATTTGAACCACAAGGTTGATGGTTCAAGCTCACCAGCCACTCCTCAGAACCCCTATACAGGATCACGATGAGTGTGAACCGATTCAACAGCACTTAACAACAACAAGTGATATGTACAACAATA